GTGTGTGTGTGTGTGTGTGTGTGTGTGTGTGTGTGTGTGTGTGTGTGGTGCGTAAGTGTTTCCCCTAATGCTTCTCAAGGTGACTTGGCCTTCCTCCTTCAGGGCTTTCCTTTCAATTCTTTTTGGGATTGAAATTATGATGAAGTAATTTTTCTACAGAAATTGCCTATGTCACTTGTGGTATCTCTCGGCAAATTTCTCAAGTGTATTTTCAACCCCTCCCTCTCTCTCTGTCCTGCTCTCTCCATCTCTCATCTCCCCCTCTTTTGGCTTTCTCTTTCTTTCTCTGAGTTCTCACTTGACATGTCAATGTGTCAATGTCACATTACACGGAGGCAATATACGTGAAACAATTTGGTGCATGACAGAAAAACGAGCTACCTCTTTATTTCACACCAGCAAAACCTGTCTTTGAAGTATACGGCCATGCTCTCATACATACAGACATGTGCACAGACACACAAATACACTCACAAAGTTACAGACACACGTGCTCATACCCAGACACAGTCTCACTGTGAAAATTCACCTGCTTGTTTCAGGGGAAAATAAGAGGCAGTGTGAAACATGTCGTCAGATTGGAGAGGGAGATTCCTCAGAGACCTGTGGCCTAATTTCATATTTTCAAGAGGAAACTTATCTAATTATATATAAGTTAACTTCCTAGTGGTCGATTCAAGGGCAGAACTGACTGAATTAACAACCTTAAGAGAAACAAGGCTATCACATCCCGCTCTCCTCAGGCTCGTTGTTTTCTTTCTCTTGTCTTTCAACACACAATCATATATCTCCAATGGCGTGCTCTTCCCACACAGTAGCTTGATCGTAATCTTGTTTTGTTGTTGAGATACTAGCAACTTCCAATAATCAGGGAAGTTAATTCTGGTTGAGTCTTTTTTGCACTGTGTTTGAGTTGCATTCTTATATTGTGTTTACATTGCATTATATCCAAACTCAAACTCAAAGATGAAAAAAATCTAAATTGTCTTGCTTGCATGCATTTATTAAAACTCAATCGACATAGATTATCATGTCTCATTTAAAAGAAATAGCCTTATGATGCAGATTAATTCAGCAAGGTGCTTTAAACTCTAATCAGATCTACCCTATAGGGGGTAACTGTAGTGAAAGTATGAAGTGTCTGCCACTGTAATTCCATTTCGCAGCAGGCTGTGGGATGAAAAAAACACATATTTGCAATGTGTGGCAACACTAAACTTTGACATATCAATAAATATGTTTGCAACACACTTCCTGTCTACTCTTCCTTCAAAACAACATCTCTGTGTAGCAGGTACAGCATGAGAGGTAAAAGCTTTGCAAGGGAAAAGGCCAGGATTCAATGTTATAACAATAAAGCTACATGGAAAATAATGGTAAAATTGTCGATTAAGACGGAAAGTTATGTTCCAACAGGACTTAAACAAGGATGCATTTTCAGTCTAACGTGTGTCTGACAGAACAAGTACGCGTTTATTTTCTTCCATTTTACTTCAATTGCGTAACTATTAGAGGCGTCCCGATCTGATCCTGAGGGTTGGTATCTGGGCATATTCTAATGCCAGTGATGCAGCACAGGGCTCTACACTACGAGCATTTTGCTGCATATGTGAGTGAAAATGAGAATTCATAAATGTGGAAAAGCTATTTGGATACACTGGTGAGTGACTGAGCTTGGCAAAATGCAGTGTACAACAAATTCAAGTAATAGTTTTTTTAACCAAGAACTCCAGTATTTGGATCACGCAGCTTTAAAAATAAGGTGTCAGATACATATTAAGTCAACAATATATTGGATCGGACTCTGTATTCAACACTAAAGGACTCAGATCGGGATCTCGGCCTGAAAAACGTGTGCTGAGACCTGAGGGCTGCCAAAACCCTGCTGTTTTGTGTTTAGGGTTAGCAGTACTTTCAACTAAATGCTGAGATATTACATGAGTTCACCAACTTAGTGTGTCATGCTAGCATGCTAACATTTGCTAAATGACACTAAACACAAACAACAGCTGAGGCTGATGGGAATGTCTTTTTATTTTTTTGCAACCGAATTTTGTATTTCACAAAATCTTTTGAACAGATAATCACATTCAATAAGATTAATCTTATTGCCACCAAGACCGTCTGTACCGAATGTCAAAGCAATACATCTAATAATAAAAATAGATTAGAATTTAGACTGGACCAAAGTGGTTGACAGTCCGACAGATCGACACATGCCTAGAGCCACGCCGCCAGCATGGCTAAAAGGGAGGGAAGACAAGAAGGAGAAGACATACTGAAACAAACAGAAAAGAATGACAAACGTGATGGACACACAACAAATTCAAGGTCAATCAGTATACATTTGACAACTTTTAAGGAAGGAGGACTGTCCGTCACACAGGTAGACAGACAGACAGACATAGATGGGCAATCAGGCTGCCAATAGAAACAGACAGTGAAACATAAAGGCAGAAGGACGTAAGATATCTCGGCGCAGAGTGCTGCTTTCTCCTTCTCCGAGTTCAGCCCTTAGGCATGGCCCGGTCTGCTTCTCCTGCTCCCTTCCTCCCTCCTAACCACCATATGGACAGAGTCGCCTATCTCACTCCAGTATATTCTCATCAAACACAACCTCTATGTTCCTTTGCTTCCCATACTCGCTCGACAGACGATGTACATATTTGGTCATGTTTAAAGTAATTTCTCAGCTATCTCTGAGGCTTAGTGAGAGCAGTGAATAGTTGGCAATGAGTCGTAATCCTTCTTAATGGAGTCCCCAGCCCTCAGATGGATTGAAGTCCACACAGCACACAGATCACATAAGGACACATTTTATTGCTTTGACAAAAAAGGAATGAAACCTTTATTGTATTTTGGATAGCTAACTACCCCCCCGCGTCTGTCTGTCTGTCTGTCTTTCACTGTCTCTTCTTTTCTTTTTCTTTTTCTTCTGTCTGCCTGTCTTCAAGAGTGTTTCTCCTGACCAGTCTGGGATTTTTACCATGCCTGCTTTGGTCATTACATCACAATTATGGAGCTGTTGGTTCAGGAGAAATAAGAGAAGAAAAAAAAAAGGTAGAGTGGAAAAAAGCGACAGATGAAATGTAGGTCAGTGGAGATGTGCTCGGGGCAGTTTCTCTCTCTGTTTCTCTCTCTCCCTGGGCCACAGCTAAAGAGGCTAAAAGAGATTGGGGGTGAAAGTGCCTCTCGCCCGCACCTGCCTCTCTCCTACCTCGTACAGATGTGCAGAAGCTCCGGCAGTGTTATTTCTTAGAAAAACGCTGTATTGACAGACGCTGAACGCCGGGCGTGACGATAACCGTGTGTGACAAGAGTGGCTCTTTTCAGCACCAAGAGGACAGACAGTCACTTCTGCTCATTCATGACATGATGACATGAGCTTTTACATTTTCTTAATATTTCACTGAGCAGAGCACCAGAGGTCACCAGTTGTCGGTCTGGGGTCAAAGGAGACTTGGTTTCCTTTTGGCTCGGTCAGTCAGGGTCTACTACCCTTGTGATCGCCAGAGTATGCTGTGGTTATAAATCTACTAGTACAATGTTATCATAAGACAAGAACACTGTTTAACCTTAAAAAAAGAGAAGTGAGTAATAAAAAATATTATCTCTTGTTTTGGTGTACATATTGTTCCATTTTCTACTGTTCCCATCAGAAGGTCATGCAATTTACAGCAGTCTTAGTCTATAAAATACACTGAATCAGTTAACGCACTTTACATCAATACCAAACTAGGAACAATTTTGAGTTATTTTAAAATAAGCCTGTAAAATATATTAAAGAGAACATCCATCCTCATAGGTTTAATAAGTAAAGCAGGTTGAAATTTGGATCAAACTAACTGTATAACATGCAGCCTACACTGGGTCAGTCATTGTACAGTAGTGGGCTAACATGGACCTGCTCTTTCATTTTCCAGGTCAGTATTTCAGAGTTTCTCAGAGGAAGAATTGAGAGGTGCAGTGCTCAATAGTTACGTTAAACCTTCCCGATCATATCTGCATTTGCAATGCTATGATAATATGTCAATATAATTGTTTTCAGTATCAATTAACAACCTATTTAGTATCTTTATCAGCATTTTTTCAGAATTGTTGTCACTTAGCAGCAATATTTTTGAATCATGCTAATATCTGACAAGCACAAGCAATCAATCAAGTGTATATGACAGTTTTTAAAGCATGTCTTTGAAACTATTTGACTTCTGTTCATTGTAAATTATTATTTTTTTACAAAAAAATAATTTATTCATTTATTTTACTGCCACGTGTTTCTATGACAAATAAAACTGGAAGGGGACGAAGGGGAATCAATAATCTCTTCCCACTATGCAGAATGTAAGATCTCAGTAGCCCCCTGGATACCAGACCAGATTAAAGATAGACTTTTTTATGTGCATGCATAGAAATAGTCTAAATTGCATGGAGCTGACTAAATGTGAAGGGTGACATTAAAACTTTGCTGTGACTGTGTCTGTGTTCCCTACTGTAGCAGCAGAGTGTGCTCAGGCTGCGTGTGAGCGTGTAGGCTACGTGTGCGTGCGTGTGCGTATGTGTGTGTGTGTGTGTGTGTGTGTGCGTGTGTGTGAGTGTGTGTGTGTGTGTGTGTGTGTGTGTGTGTGTGTGTGCAGGCTCCGGGCTGAAGGCTGAGAAGGAGAGAGTGGGAGGGGCGGATAGTGCTCCAGTCCAATCACGGCCGCCGGGTAAAGCCTCTCATGCGCTCTTTCCTCCCTCAGCCCGCAGAAAACAGTGAAACCCTCCCATAGAGGTGAGAGCGTAGATGTCATGAGAAAAGCGACCGCACTACCAGAGCGCAACAACCGACGCACCGTGCGAACTCAGCCCGACTCCCTGCGACCTGGTCTGGGATGCTTTTAGCGCAGAGACGCCTCCACTCAGGGCAGTCCGTGGAAGTCGACGCAGATCATCAACACTCTTTTCGTTGTTGTTGTTATTTTTAACCGAGGATCTTTCCCCCGCACCCTCCCATCCCTCCCTTTTCCAGTGTTTGTGTTTGTTTCTCCATGACTGATGCTTTGGGAAGCGAGCCTCAGCACCAGCTCCAGCAGCGGCACCATGCGAGGTAAGACCATCCCACTGCTCCAAACACCGCCGCATTTCCCCCAAAAGCTTCACACACATGCACACACACATTTCACGGCAGGCTTTATCCCACCTTTGGCCATAAAACTTTATTCTGGGAGTTTTAAGCAGCAAAGCGGGTTTGTCACTCTTTCGCATCCGAGAGGAGAGTGTGTGGCTGCATGTCTCAGCACCTTACACTGTAAATGTATAAACATTTATTTGGGTTCTCTGCGTGCGTGTTTTGAGTCTGAGTGTAATGTGTGTGGAAAAGGCCGACAGTTTTGCAAATTCATGCGTAAAGCCATTGGAGTCTGTGATTGTAAATTAAAAGTGGCGCATGATGTTTGATTAAAGCTTTAATAATTTCAGCTCTCGAGCTCCCTTCCACATCAACGGAAACTGCGGATAGGTTGCTACCAGGTCAGATCAGGTGCTGCGCAAAAAAGACAACTTTATTTCGTTATCTTCTGGGGATAAACTTTATTGGAGACTTTTCTCGCGCTCCACTAACCCATTTCCGTGACGTTCTGCACCACGCCGGGGATGTTGAAATTCAACGTCAATGTCGTCCTGCGCACACACACACACACACACACACACACACACACACACACACACACAC